CAGATGTTTGATGTTACGTCCCGGCGAGGACAGATGTTTGATGTTACATCCCGGCGAGGACAGATGTTTGAGGTTTTCATTCAACCTGTATTTAGACAGGTAATCCCATTGAGCCTTGAGGACTCATTTACAAGAGAGACCTGGTTTAACAACGAAACTAAACCTGAGCTGGTCCTGAACATCTTTAAACTGAAGACGTTAGAAGTTCCTTCGTTTAGGGAACAGACAGGTTCTGCAGAGCGGCTCTAAACCACAACTACAGCTTCGTGCTGAACTGGAGCTTCACCTTCGAAGAACATGGACTTCTACATTTTAAAGCAATAACAGAAACATTTGAGTCCAAAGTTCTGACAGTTGGAGACCAAACGATTGTGGGAACTGTGGGAGAGCAGGGCGCTACAGCACCACCCTGTACAAGACAAAGAACATGGAAATACAGAAACAAAAGGAAGAAAGGATGAGGAAGCATGTAAAACTACACAACTGTTAACTACACAACTATTAAACTACACAACTGTTAAACTACACAACTATTAAACTACACAACTGTTAAACTACACAACTATTAAACTACACAACTGTAAACTACACAACTATTAAACTACACAACTGTTAAACTACACAACTGTAAACTACACAACTATTAAACTACACAACTGTAAACTACACAACTATTAAACTACACAAATGTAAACTACACAACTATTAAACTACACAACTGTAAACTACAGAACTATTAAACTACACAACTGTAAACTACACAACTATTAAACTACACAACTGTAAACTACACAACTGTAAACTACACAACTATTAAACTACACAACTATTAAACTACACAACTGTAAACTACACAACTATTAAACTACACAACTATTAAACTACACAACTGTAAACTACACAACTGTAAACTACAGAACTATTAAACTACACAACTGTAAACTACACAAATATTAAACTACACAACTGTAAACTACACAACTGTAAACTACACAACTGTAAACTACAGAACTGTAAACTACACAACTGTAAACTACACAACTATTAAACTACACAACTGTAAACTACACAACTATTAAACTACACAACTGTAAACTACACAACTGTAAACTACACCGTAGTTTGACCG